AACCCTACGGTGACAAATGATAACAAATCTTAATCAAGTATCATTATTTAAGATGTAAATGAATAAGCATTATGAGAACATCACAAAGGATTGGGATCACAAAAACTAACTTCTTGGGAAGAGGGAGACTTACTTTGACACAGTAGGATATGCAGTTGTCATTATAATGTTTGCAACATCTGTGTCTTGGTCCCCGTTTGCATCTGGATTTGAAAAAAAAAAAAGAAAAGAAAAATAGTTCATGTAAGCCACAATCCAACACACTGCCATGATGCCGGGTGTGTTTTCTCTCACATCGATTCGAGCAGTTTCCTGGTGGAGGATAGAAGAGTCTTTCTTCTAGAGTCAGGCCTTTCTGCTGATGGCTGTGAATCATCAGCCAGCACAGAGTGTGTTGGGATCTCTTCTTTCCCAATGATGAATCTAAGACAGAAAACACACACCACTTCTATAAACTTTTATCTATAAACCTTTTTCATCAGCAGTGAAAATGAAGGCATCAATAGAAACAGGAACAACTTACTTCAATGCGGAGAATGCAAAGCCTTTGAGACCATCTTTACTTCTATAGTATAAAACAAAATTCAGCTTAACCTTAAACATTAACACTTGCAACAATGTGTTCACTGTGCTGCTCTAACCTGAAGAAGAACATAAAGAGTGATGAAGTAATGCAGAACAACAGCACCTAATGGGAAGCAGAGAGAGAGAAAGAATCAAACACATGACTCATTTCACCACTGTGCAGTCTCGTCAGAACTATAAAGTCATAAATGCTTCTTTTTGGATCCGTTGATACTTTTTACTGAAGTCTGTTCAGTTTTCACAACTGGAGTTCCCTGTAGTTGCATTATTAGACTCATAATCCAACAACAAAACAAGAGAGAGTCTTAAAAAAAAATTAGGTTGGCAGTAATTTACATGATCTAAACCTAACCCTGATAACAAGCTCATAGCCCCACCCTTTGACCTTACCTCGCCATGTTTAATGGGTTTGACGACACCTCGTGTCACTGCCATGCGAAACAAAGTCTCAGTGGCCTGAGAACAACATTACGCTATTAAAAATGCAGACACATAGCAAGGTTCACATACAACTACTAATATTCGAAAGAAGCGGCCCTTACAAGATTTGCCATGTATATTGTCAGCAGCCCTCTCCTGTGAGGATGAAAAAGAAAGAGGCGAAAAGGCAAAAAGTAAACTATGTGAATGAAACATGTTTGAATCTAGGAGAGGCGAGAAAAAAACATACTGAAACGTAACAGACGGGCATCTCACCTGCTCTTGCGCTCCAGCAGGATGGCAATATAAGAGGCTGGCAGTGCTGAGCCAAACCCAACAGACCAGGAGTAGAAGCCTCCCAAAAGTCTCCTGCAGTTAAAATACACTGCATTATTTCACTTCCTTTTTTTTCCCAGCTGGAACGTTTCAGTGAAGACAATCGCACACTGTCAGCACAAGATTTTGTCAGCTCTTCCGTCTTCCATTTTTCCATGATAAGGAAAGTATTATCCAAGTATTTAAAATGTGCACTTATTGAAACGATAGACAAAGACAATCCAAGCTGATACTGTAGTCATACACTACTTTCTGCAATTCGTTTATCCACAAGGGGTTGCCACAGCAGTGCCAGCTCCTTATGAATAAGCAGATATCTCTGCATGTTTGATTGGCCTTCCTGACGTAACACACAAGGGATTTGTATCTACTCCTTGAAGGTCCAGGGACCTTTTCCTTATTAGTCAAACCATGATACTATAGAACCACCTTTTACTTTACTCTAAATGGGACACAAATTTACAAAATTATTTAAAAAAAAAGTTTTCTTAAACTAGCAAACAAGACCATAAAGTTAATAGTGGGTTTATTTTATCACAGATGTCCACAGAGGGTGACCCTAATGCAAACATGACCACAGTGGCCAGGACATGAAGCTGACACACTCAGATGCTGACAGGTTAAAGGAAAGGAGGCACACGTGGAAGAAGCTAAAGTGGCTTCAGCTTCAGCAGGTGTGGTTCACAGAACATGACCGTTCATGCTCAGTTTATCCATATATCATACTGTATACATTTCACTTTCGTTTTCATTAATAAACATAATGACAGTGCAGCTTAGTGCCAAGTTTGTGTTTACATACTCTAGACATGGGTTCACTGACCTGAGAATGCAGAAGAAAACGATGAAGAGACCCCCATTGGTAGTCAGGAAAGAGGTAGACCAAAAGATCTCTGGGATAAGCCTTTTTAAGTAGTAATCCTTCTTCCTTCTCCTTAGAACTGCTGCTATCTGCAAAGCACAGTGCGTTACTGCACACTGGAGATGCAAGACAAATACAGTTCCAACTCTGCTAAAGTTTACACTTACAGTCGTGACGAGTGCCCAGAGGGCAATGAAATTTACAAAGGGGAACCTGGCTGAAGTTGCATGACATGTTTTTGCTCCTTTATCTGATCGGCCACATGTACAACTTGGACTTCGTACCTAAGTGCAACACTAGCGACGTGCCAGCCTATCTTTAGAGGTTTTCTGCGAACTACTAAGCCATTTTACTTTAGTTAGCTCGCTAACTTTAGCTATTTAGCTAGCCTCACAGTCTACAGTTATATTTCAGGTCAAACGTCTTACCAGGTAAAGAGGCGCGTATATTTTAAAGGACACCTCCAGAGCACTCCTAGTCACATCGGCAGCAGACTGCACACACGACGGGCTCCAAGTGTGGCCGATTTCGTAGCAGTTATGCGGTATTTTGCTGAGAGCAGCCATGTCTGTGCACAGTGACAGCAGGAAGGTGGTAGGCTGCCGTGCGCGTTCCCTAAAAGGGGCGCAGTCACGAGGATGAACTATGCACGCGCCCGGTGCTGATCAATAAGGTTAGGAGAAGAGTCCTCTTTACACGGCTGCAATAACAGCTGTGACATTTTTATAGGTAGCCTGTTACAAGCAAGTCTTGCATCCAGCGACTAACCCAGATATGCCGAATAATTTCTTTGTTTCCGTCAGTGTAAACACACAAGTTATGGTTCAATTTTCAATTCAGCTTTATTAAGATTTGACCCTATTTCAAATTAGAAGCACAGAATGGAATTACTGCAGATATGTTTTTGCTCCTTTAAGTGCCAGCTTTTTTCCAACAGAGGTACAACTTTGTGCACCTATGGACTTTGGATCAACACGGTCTGTAAATTTTTATGAAAATCAATCAAAACTTATATCTTGATAGAAAAGTACTCATATGTTTTACAGATTTATGCAAGAAACTGTCATATATTTATGACTGTTTTACATTCTGAACATTAATCCCAATATAATCACAGTGGAAATGTTCAAACTTCCATTGTTGTGGAAATTCCATGTTGCTATTAGTCTTTCCAAAAAAAAAAATCAACAACAACAACAAAACCCCCCCAATGAACTGGAAACTGAATCTTTATCTTTTCAGAAATATGAGATATCTGAAAATATCCAGTATAACAAAATTTTTTCTCTTTTCTATCTCCTCCATTAAACTCATGCTCTTATATCACGTGGTTCCCTGTCCCATGACAGCCAGCAAATCGACAGCATCTCACTGCACTGTGTACAGTATGGAGAGTGATGCAAATTTTACAGAGCAGATATTCTTTGTTTAAAAACAAAATTAAATAGAACACTAATACCACACGTCATCTAAAACTTGTTAGTTTTAAAGTCATAGATGCGTCATATAGTTCACCAAGCTTTATGTATATTCTTGTAATGTCCCGACTAGGTCAGCAGGTGTCACCCTTGCCTCCGAAATTACGACACAAAATTTCAAGTTAGAGAATGTAAGGTTGTGTTGAAGGGAATGAGCTCAGTATGGTTTTAAGAATTTCCACTTGTTAAAAACCATTCAAGACTATTTTAAGAGGACTTTTTTTATTATTATTTTGTTTGTTTTGTTTTTAATGCACTTAACACTGACCTATGAATCATCGAGCAAAAAACGGATGAAACAGTGGTTTTTTTGCAAAAAAACATAGTTTGTTCCTATTTTAAATAAATCTGTCAAACATTTTAGTGATAACACAGCTTAACAGGCATAAAATGGTATTTTTATCATCTACAGCACATGAACAGTATCTGAAACTAATGTTCTTAGGAAATATTTAAAAAAAATCCTGCAAAGACCTGACACAGGACATGAGAGATGCATTTGGTCTACTGTTCACGATAAAACTATGATACTGGAAATTTCTGCATAAAATATCAAAATTAAAAATAATTACTCTGCAGAAAAAAAGTTCCCCATCATCATTGAATGGATTAATATTACTGCTGCATATGTTTAAGGTGATGCTTATTTTAAATACTTTATACTATGCTTAAAGTCCAGCATCATATTATTTGTAGCTTGACATATAACTTGTTATTAAGTAACTTAAATAATATTTCGCTAAAACTTAGTAATCTTAAAGTAAAGAAGCTATGGTTATAAAAGGATTTTTGGATTCTTGCAGCTGGCTTTTCATAAATCTGTATTAGAAAATAGAGCTGCGCATGAACCTAAAATCATGCCCAATATTTTCTACACTGACATTCATGAAAAATTCTTATTTCCTCTGGGCTCTCCTCCCTTGTTCTTGGCCCCTCACTGTGCCGCCCTATGTTTAAAAATTCTGGAACCGCCACTGGTGGCAACACCTAGAATCGTTAAAGGAAGATAAGGTAAAAAGAACTGAGTTCTTTGTGGGCTGCTATTTCATCAGTCTACTGTAGGATCAAATATAAACAAATAAAACTGTAAACACACATCAAAAGTGCTTTTTGTGAAGCTGAAAAGTCAAATTAGAGATCCACAGTGCTTGGCACTGCCTCTTTTGCGTAGTGGATCTAACTAACCTAATTTCCCAGCAGACCACTTCAATTAAATCCAGAAAGAAATAATTGACTTGGGAATACTTACTGGTTCTTATCCCTGCACATCAGATACTACTGGAGGCGTAGCCTCTGGCTGAATAGCCTGACTGTTTTGCTTTGAGTTTCGTAAGCGCTGGGGTCCAGACGGACATTCGCACTCACATGGAAGAGTGAAAGAAGGTTACCACTTGTTCCTGTACCAGCAAAACCCGCTGATAACTTTGGCCAGCATTTTAGACTGCGATCAGCTGAATATGGCACGGACTTTGGGGTTGTTTGCAACTTGTTTGCTGATTTTTCTTCTTTCATTGGGCGCGAGCGGGGAGCGCGGCAGGGAGAGAGTTTATTATGTGGGGATCATTGAGGACCTCTGGGATTACGCACCAAGTGGAAAAAACCTGCTTAACGGGAAAGACATCGAAGACGATGAGTGAGTTGACATTCGGAAAAGTATGCTCAGATAGTGGCGGCACTAATAGCTTGTAAAGATTCATTTTTATTTTTAGCGCCTTTATATATAATGTCTAAGATCACTCACAAGTAGAAAGTCATTATAACTCATGTGGGAATAAAAAATAGACCGCGAAAGAAAAGACAGTTTAGAGATACAAAAAAGTTTTAGTGCAAAACTTGTGGGTTATGTCGCGTGCTCGGGGTGTGACAGTGTCTAGACTTTGTGTGCTTTGCTAGCAGTCTAACTGATGTGCAGGAAAGATGACAATCACTAACAGCGAATTACTGTCTCCTCTCATTAGATTAGAGGCTTCCTTTACTGTGTATCTATCTGCCATGTGTCTTTATGTGCAGCCAATCACCAAAAAGGAGGCACAGAGATCCTGTCTGACAGACGCATTTGCATCACACCATGGTTAGGAATTTAATGAGAGATGTGACAATGAGACTGTGTGACCCTTGCATTTCACAGTTTTCAATTTCTAGAAAAAAAAAAACATATAAAATAATACTGTTAATGCGGCTTGTACTTACATCACATGTAAGCATTGACAACTCACAACATTTGTCTGTGTTTCTGCTGTTATAGTTCAGGAACCAATACCTAATAATCAAAAATCCCTTTCTTATATTAAAAAAGAGGACATTAGACTGGACACATTTGCACATTTTTCATGAAATGAAGGAATGCTCATGGGTGTTGCGCAATGATTGAGACAATTTTGTCCTTCCTGTCAGAGAAATAAATAATTGTGAAGCATAAGGGAATTGCTTCATTCTTACACAATACATGGCATTCCTAAATTTATTTGAACCTCTGGACGTGCTAATAACGTTCTCAAAGTGTACAGGCTGTACTTAAACTGTCTCAAGCTCAAGCTGTTTAATCACTGCAGGGCATGTTTATCTTTGTTAGATATCATATTGTCTTTTCACTCCCATTTCATTTCAAACTGAATTCACAAGAAGCTTTAAGATGTTTCTTCCTGCCATTTGTATCCCATCATTTAAAATGTGCAATTGCGTCAAATCAACTTGCAATGCGTTTGCATGGCATTAGATTAATAAAGCCATATGTGGTATTATAAGACAGAGAAGGGGAAACGAATAAGCAGTGTTGGAGCAATGTTAGCACTATTTTGCTTTGTTCGGGTTCTGACTGAAACAGCGGTAATCAGACAGGCATCAAGGTTTTCAGTCAAAACCATTTGAGAATCTATTTAAGATAATCTTACTTCCAAAAGTGCATCAGCTACAGTTTCAACAACCTGTTATTAGCTCCCCAAAACATGTTATTAAAATAATGATATGTCTAATTGTTAAAGACCTGCAACCACATGCAATTTGTTCAGTGGCTTTACATCTATTCTTACACCAGGTAAGATCTAGTTCTTGTTTGGTCTACAATGAAATTCTAGCCGTTAGACAATAATCAAAATTGTATAAACTAAAAGATCTATCATAGCCTTTTGTGAAAACCTAGAAAGGCAATGCACTTACTTTTGCTATATTTGTACAAGTTTGATTGAAGGTTGGTGTTGCAGTGTGGAACTTGACATTGACCCTAACAAATACAAATGCAAGAAGAAAAAAAAGTATTTTTCTTGTCTGTCTCCTACACACTCTCGGAATTCTGTATAATCGCTCTACTGTGTGTCTCACATTCTTGTTGTTTCCTTTTCAAACTTTCTCAGGCATGCATCAATATTCCTACAGGGAGGGCCCCATCGAATTGGAAGTATTTACAAGAAAGCTGTGTTCAAAGAGTATACAGATGCTTCATACAGTCGCCTGTCTCCTCGACCTGATTGGCTGGGCTTCCTGGGACCCATACTGCGTGCTGAGGTTGATGAAACTATTGTTGTCCACTTAAAGAACTTTGCAACCAGGAACTACTCTATGCATCCCCATGGGGTTTTCTATGAGAAGGATACAGAAGGTAAAATGTTCCATACTACTGGATATAGACAGAAAAATTCATGGTGCTTTTGCACACAGAGTCACACCTACAAGAACAAAGTGCTGTCAGTGAGGGTTACAAAGTGTCATTTATTCATACTGAATGATACCGATTGTTGCTGTGTTCAAAATTTGTAATAAGAACTGAATAATATAACTTTTTAAAAATCCAAAAGGGCTTGAAGTTACATGAAATAGCTAACATTGTTTATGAAGTTCCAAGAAGGCGTGGTACTGTTCTCCTAGAAACAGAAGAAAAAGTGGCACATCACAATTCCAGAAAATGAGTGACTGCTATGGCAGATGTTTTATAAAGATATGTCTCTTAGGTTTTCTGAACTTTACAGCTCTCTGCTATGCAAGAAGCTCGTACACCACCCACCCCCACCCCAATCATGTGAAGGGGAAATCCTGCCGGAGTACACTTGAGAGCCTTGTGGAAATTGAGACTACAGCTGCAGTCCTTTCCTACTTAAAATAGAGAATGCTTATTGTTATACTTTGTGTCATGGTTTAAAATCAGCAATTTTATTAAACATGAGGAACGCTAAGTGGCATCTTTTTGCTTAAACTGGAACTTGAGCTGAAAGATAATGAGATCACATGTCAGTGGTGTCAGCACATTAAGATACTGAGAACTGAGAAAGCAGTTAATTTGTTAAACCTTGTCCCGACATTCATACTGTATCAAAGATCAGTGTTCTCGTGACTTTATGCTTTGTTTTCAAACACACTGCCATAGAAACTAAAGGCTTACCAGAAAGTAGAAAAAAAAACAACAAAGAAAATGAATACTACCTTGACTTTTGAAACCTGCTTTAAATAACATTCTTGTAAATGTTTTCTAATATTTTCTACAAAATTCTTATTGAGACTATAAACTATAATATCTCTGCTCGGCTGCTTTCTGAACAGAGTGATCTCTTTGCAAACATTTTCCCTTCGTGTACCAGGTGCACTCTATCCAGATGGGACATCAAGCAAGTTGAAGAAAGATGACTGTGTCCCTCCAGGAGGCAGCTATACCTACCGCTGGGAGGTCAAACCTGAGTTTGGCCCCACAGATGATGATGCCAACTGCTTGACCTGGGTCTACCACTCTCATATTGACGCCCCCAGGGACATCTCCTCAGGACTTATTGGGGCGTTACTCACATGCAAGAAAGGTACAAATATATTTGGCAAATATATTTGATTGTATGTTTGGTGTGTTTCATACAGTGTTTTGCCTGCTGTATGCAGCTTTCTGTATGCACAAATTGTATGTTAAATCAAATGTATTTCTACATCCTAAGCCAGTAGTCTCATTCAGAAACAGCCTTTGTAAAAATAACATAAAAAAATTGCTTTACTTGAAAAACTGCCAACGAAGGATTGCCGTGAAAATCGCACACAGTGGGACACCAGAAGGAAACAAAGATTACGCATGCTCCTTTTCTTTGAGTGCAGGAGCCTTGAAGGAGACTAATGAACTAAATGCAGCCGAGGGAGACTCTGCCGCAAAGTCCGCCCGCAGTGATGTCGACCAGGATGTTTTCTTAATGTTCAGTGTGGTGGACGAAAACATGAGTTGGTACTTGAAAAACAACATTCAGAGATGTTTTGATCCAGAAACAGTTGACCCAGAAGACCCAGACTTTAAAGAGTCCAACCTGATGCACGGTGAGAGATAGATATTTAAAGTCTTTTTAGGATCATTTAATACTGGACTAACTGCACACATTCAGTCGGGCCAAACCAGCTGATGCAACTCAGCAATCTGCATCATATAGTTTAAAATGTGTTCACAGGGAATTCACTTCACATTTCTAATTCTGACAACAAAGGCTGTAGGAGAGGTTTTTGATGGCTAAATGTCTCATTGTTCTCTGATTGTGTGTGTTTTTCTCTGTGTGACAGCTATTAATGGGTACATGTTTGGTAACCTGCCTGGAATCGAGTTATGTCAGCACCGCGCAGTAGCCTGGCATTTGTTTGGGATGGGTAATGAGGTAGATATTCATTCTGCATTTTTCCATGGGAATACCCTGCTGGACCGTGGTCACCGCACTGACGTCCTTAGCCTGTTCCCAGCCACGTTCGCAACAGCCGAGATGGTCCCAAAAGCAAATGGAAAGTGGCTGCTGGCCTGCCAGGTTAATGACCACTTGCAGGGTAGGATGCTTGACCTTTAACCTATGTGTCACCTTTGACCTTCTGCTACAGCACTTTGCTGACAAAGGAAATACCCTTTTCATGGGGGTGCTGCTTTTTTGTCAAAGCCTGAGCATTCCCACAGCAGAGATTAGTATTTCTACTCTGAGCCTGCCTGGACTTGTAAAACACTTTCTAGAACTCAGCTGAATTTAAAAGCTGAAGGGTATGAGCAGACATTTTATTATTTGTTATTATTTTCAGGCTGCCCAAAATCTAGTGAACATAACATTGAGAGAGTCATACAATGACTACCGCTAATTCTTGTGAAGAACTATTACTTTTTATGAGGCTGTGCTTTTTATAATGGCTCTCTCTCGTTCCTGACCCTTTGAAAAAAAAAAGTAACATTACTGTTTTATAAACCTATTTAGGCTGCAAATCACACAACTGACAGCTTTACATGTTGTAGATCTGCTCAGATTTTGAGAGTAAACCCAATTTCCTAAAAGATAAGCAAGTTAAACATTTAAAATGAACTCTGGAATGTTTTTTATCATTTTATAGACAGTTACTGTAGCCTGGAGACCTGCTCAAAGGTCTACATCTCAGTGAGTTTTTACTTATCTAAATTATGGTTTGTACGTGTGTGTGTGTGTGTGTGCTGTTCCAGCTGGGATGCAGGTCTTTTATGAAGTGAGGTCGTGTAACAATGAGGCTGGATCCATGCTGACAGGTGGAGTTGTAAGGAATTACTACCTGGCGGCAGAGAAAGTCCTGTGGAACTATGCTCCCTCAGGAAGGGATTTGATCAGCAACGTATCCCTTACTGAAGCAGATAGGTGAGCAACATATTGCAGTCTAAATAATGCCCCAAAAGTTTATTTTGTTCTCTGGACAACGCTACATCCAGATGAACAGAATCAACTTATGGGGATTTACTTACCTGGATGATTGAGCATGCATCAAGATAGTCTAAATAATGGTTTACATGTATCTCAAAATAAAAGTTGATTTATTATTTAGCCCAAAAAACTCAAGAAGAGACTTAAACCAAACACACCATCAGTCAAACCAACATAGTTTCATGCCAGGTTTCCCCCAAAACACACTCAAGATACCTTTATGGGTTGATCTTGTCTCTCTATCTCTGTCAGTACTCCTAACTCTAAAATGGGGCTTGACTTTCTGTGTGCATGCCCCCTGGAAGGGGCTGATTATACAGTACATGTGATGCTCATTCAGGCTGTGTGGTCTCCTTTGAGCGACCAATTCCAGAGCATGGGTCACAGCCCCCAGGTGGAGCATGACGGTAATGCAGGTGAACAATGTGATTCTGTAAAAAAATAAAAATTAAAACCTTGTAATGAAGTTTGAAAGTATCAAAACAATTTATATGTAATCAATTTTTACACTTATTTATGCACTGAAAAGCACGTCATCTTTCATAACTTGCATGGAAAGTTGAAATGTAGTGACAGCTCCTTGGTGACAAAAGGAAATCTTTTAATAGAGAGTCAGAGTTGTGTGTAAAGGTGCGGGCAGGTGGCAGGCTTCCAAAGATTTCACATCAGATAATAGAATTCTCAAGTTTGGGAGTAGCTTGTGAAGATTCAACGGTCTGGATGATCATGCAGCAACCCATCTGTTATTATCTGGTATTTATTGCTGATCTGACACCAGTTTTCGTTCTAAGTAAGTAACTAAGGTCCAAGTAAGACATTTCTCATCGCTTTTACATCTAGGTCACATATTTACTACAACCCACATTTACAGTTTTTGCTTCATTTTCTTCCTCCAACTATCCCATCTCTTTCTTTTGTAGTCCATCAGATGTGTTTTTTGGCAGAGATGATGGAAGGCTCGGTGGTCAATACATAAAAGTGATATACAAAGAGTACACAGATGATACTTTCACTACTGAGAAATCAGCTGATCTTGGACATTTAGGACTATTGGGTAAGTCCTCCCTTTTTTCACCATGTTCTGAATAAAAGTCACCTTTTCTCTTTTGTTATATGTTTCCTGAAACAATTCAACAAATTCATCAAGTTCACTAAGTCTCAAGATCTCTTATCTGATTACAGTGTTCCTTTTCTATTCATACAGGTCCAGTCCTGAGGGCAGAGGAGGGTGACACTCTCAGAGTGACATTCCTCAATAAGGCTGATAGAAACTACAGCATCCAGCCTCATGGCCTTCATTATGATAAACACTTCCAGGGAAGCAGCTATGAGGATGGTGAGGAAGCAACGATACAAACACAAATAATACTGGCACAGTTAACTCAGTAAGTCAAGGAGCTGGGATATCCTGTAATTCTTAGGGGACGCTACTTAATCTCTAAAAACACAAGCTGAAACTAATGATTAACTGTTCAGACTGACCAAAGCATACATTTGCATTACTGATACTTTAAAAAGAGTTACTGCAAAGAAATAAATGAGTATATCCCTACAAATTTAAAAAGGTAATTAATCACACAAAGTAAGAAATAAAAGCTGTAAATGAACTTGTTCATGCTCAAAGTGCACATTGTTTGACTAATACATATGATATTATATTAAGGTGTTAAGCATAGTGAAAAGAGAATCACAGTGCCTTTTGACTGCTGTCTGTACTGACAGCAAGTTATAGTAAACCAAATTGTTTGTACTTCTTTGTCTGCAACACTGCAGGTGTTGAAAAGCCAGGCTCCCATGTTGGTCCAGGTGAGAACTTTACTTACACCTGGCAGGTCCTGGAAGGCCCATCATCATCTGATTCTTCCTGCATCCCTTATCTCTACTACTCTGCCACCGATCCTGCCAAAGACACTAATTCTGGACTAGTTGGACCTCTTCTTGTATGCAAGAGAGGAGCGCTTGGGGACGACGGCAGACAGGTGCTGCTTTGGTTATGTATTCAGACACGTTCTCATGTTAAAAAAAACCCAAAACCTTAAGGAACCTCTGAGTGTATACACTTTTAAATAGCTAAAATCAAAATAGCACTTGCCTTTTGTTTGACAAGCTGCTGGGGATTATCAAATTTATTAGAACTTTAATAATACAAGATAGCTAAGATAAGGACAAAATAATTTATGATGAAAATTTTAAGTGTAATTTTTAAGTGCTTTTTAAATTCTGTGTGATGTTACCTTAAAATCAAATTAGCAGCACTTTAAGAGCCTTACTGATTCTGTAATTTTGTCTCTATTGTCTAACAGAAGGATGTAGATAAGGAGTTCTTCCTTCTTTTTTCTGTCATGGATGAAAACATGAGCTGGTATTTAGATGAGAACATTGAGAAGTTTGGCAGCAATGAGACTAATCAAGAGCACGAGGACTTTCAGGAGAGCAACATGATGCATGGTAATCAGTCTGTTTGGTGAATCAGCTGAATAGATATTACCTTACCTATTTATCTGAAAAGCTATTGAATCAGCGTTGATTGTAACTCAGATTTTGTTATATTTGAGACCCGGTTCAGGTGTGTCTTTGTATTTTTTT